TGCGTATGTAAGTGTAACACAATCGTGAGTCATTTCTCCTTCATCCTCTAACACCACTTCAGTCATTGCAGACATCATACATGAGGATGGGTTCGTGACTGACGCACACTGTAAAACAATGTTCGGGGCTGTGAGGGTTATTAACAATTTTCCCCAACGAGAGGAGGTGACAGAAGTGACTTTTGCTTGATTCATTAGTGTGGACACTGCATGAGAGCATCTTATGTTTACAGTCTGTCTGTTAGCCAATTTTGTAGGAATTACTGTAATTTCTGCACCTGTATCAAGCTGAAAGTCAATCTCTTTCTCTTGTATGCTACCTTTCACAAAAATTATTTTGTCATTGTGATGGATTACAGGGGAAATTAAGCACTCGCAGCCCTAACAGTTAACACCTGAGCAAGCTGCTCCAACAGTTCGGCGAAGAGGGGAGGGGCTGCTTCAGAGTAGTAAGTAGACTGAGTAGGAGCTGAGTAAAGCTGCTAATTTCTCCTAGTGTCTTCTTGCTTTTCCTACACTCTTTCATCCAGTGTCCAGGTTTACCACAGTAATGACAACTGCCCTCCCTCTTAGGATTTTTATGTTTCAGTCGGTTCTCTGTGTTGACCTGAAAGGATACTGCTGCAATCTTTACTCTGGCTTTTAACATCAGAGTCTCTTTCCCATGTAGCTAACCTGTCCAAGCTGTTTTGCAAACTTCCAGTGGACCATGTTAGATCTAAGAACGGCAAAGCAGATCTGTACTCTGATAAAAGACCATCAAACCATGCTCGAACTGGTGGTCCTTTATGATCCAGTACCTTCTCTGGAGTGTCAGCTATTCCACTGTATGCTGCAGCTGACTGACAAAACCTTTCAGTGTATTCACTCACAGTTTCTTCTTTCCTGTGCACAAAGTTAGTGATTCTGGACCAGTCTATTTTGGGTCCCATGATATTCTTTAGAATTTTCAAAACACCTTCTCTCAAATCGCCTTTACTGGCATGTTGTAGTTCAGAAGTAACAGCAGACTCAAAACTGTTGAATTCAGATTCAGTTAGAATTTGTGACATCAGCTGTGTGACTTCTGCTAACGACATGTCGTAGAGATGCATTTTGCTGATCAATGCTCTTCTAAATTCAGAAAACTTGTGCATGCTGAGGGTAAGCTCTGGGATAGTTTCTCTCTATATCTTTAGGTCCTAGCGCTTTGGCAACAGTTTGTACTTGGACAACAGAAGAGTTGGGAGGAACACTTTCAATTCCCTGAGATCTTCTCCTAGCATCACATAACTTCACTGAATCTACAGGCACATCAGTTACTGATTGGATGGCTACATCTGTTTCAAAGAAAGCTTGGAAGTCAGGATAATTGTTATCAGGCTGACTAACTTCTTCCACATCAGTTTTTGCTGCAGCTTTGTTGGGGTTCAATTTCTTAGTCAAAGAGGATACTCTAGCACGGAGCTCTTTGTTCTGTTCCTCTAGCTTTAAGTTACGCTGAGACTGTTGTGTAGCTAGCGCTAAACCAAATTCTCTGTGGCAGCAGATAATGCCTTTCACATTGTTCTTGCAAATACATGCTCCTAGTACCTTTTTACACTTATCTACAGACCAAGTCTTGTCTGAATGGATCTCATATTTCTGAGTTAGTTCTTGTCTAACTTTCTCAGTGAATATTAGGTTAATTTGCACTCCTAACAGTGATTTGAATTTGCTATCTGACCACAAAGGAGTCGCGAGACCACCTTTTTCAGTTGTGGGAATCAGTCTAGCATTCTTTCTAAACATTTTGTGAGTTTCTTTGTTACCACACAAACAAAACACTAAAACTTCTCTGATCAACAGAGGGTAC